AAAAAAAAAAAAAAATCCCTCTGGGAGGAGTGAGGTCGGTGTCACAGAAACAACAAGGGCTGTGGATTCACAGATGGATGAGGTTGGACAAGTCACACAACCTCCATGAGTCTCACTTTCCTCATCAGTTTGTTGTGAGAAATAAATGAAATAATGAGTATAAAATGCCTGATAGGTAGACTGCATTGAGAGAAACAGGAGTTCCCTTCCATTCCCCTGAGAGGAAAAGGGAATAGACAGACTCTTGGGGCAATTAATGCTTTAAAGGAGAAATAAAGACAGAATGATATTTCTTGGATACTCTGGCTAAGTAGCTATTTGAACTATGACTGACTGGGTATTTCTAACTAGCATCTCCTGGACTCTTCCCAATCATAGGCAGGCTGTGTAGTCTTCTGAACATTGCTCTGGTGTTGTTTATAATAGTGTTTACCTCAGCCTGAGCGATAATAGGACCAAAGGTGGTTTAGTGTACCCATCCTGTAGGAGCTTTTCATATTAGTTCTTTAGGATAGTGCAGTTTGTAAGATGGCTGAACTCTTACTAACAAGCACCCACTTTTTGAATTCTGCTGCTCCATAGGGAGCTGGGAGGCTGCAAAAGGTGTCCACGTGAAAATCCTTGCATTTGTAGTTTAATAAAGAGAACATAATACTGGAATTCTAAATTTTAAATGAAGAGCTCTGTGTCTTTCTTTTACTTTTCCTCCTCTTTCTTTATATGAACAGCAGTATGTATGTGTGTTTGCGTGTGTGTAATATTCATGTCACTTCCGGTTTCCACCCCCACCCCCACTCCCTGAGTGAACTGGAGGGTCAGCCCTCACTGTGCATCTTTTGTGGTCAAATTGACTGTCAGCTTCAGAAATAGTTAGAAAAAAAAAGTTAGAACCTTCCACAATAAGTACCTAAAGAAGCACCATTCAGGAAGACATAAAGGACAGATGCACCTTCTTTCACATTATTGGTGGATGGATCAGTGATGACTAAGGAAGAACTACCACATTTTCAGGCTGTGTGTGCAGGGACTGGATCACAAGGAATAGGAGGAAATCTGCCAAAGAGGGTGCAGCTAGCCCTTGGAAATCCTGGTAATCCTTTAGGTCAATGATCTAGAGGTAGAGGCCATTTCACCCCTTGCTTGAAGGGGTGATGGCTAGTGAGAAGCTTGCTTACTTCCTCATACTTAGACCAGCACTAAACCCTAACCAAACACAGACATTTGAAAGAGAAGAAGGCTTCCTCTTGTACAAATTGGATTTGTTCTAAAAAGAAAAAGAGCAGAGGCAGCTTCCAGAAGGACCTATCTTATAGGAAGTAAGAGCAGACGCCAAGACTGAAGTGGATGGATGCCAGGTCAGAGCAGGGAATGTGTCCATCAAGAGCTTGCAACAAAGCTAAAGGTAAAATGATGGGTGTGCTTACTCAGCTAAAAGAAGCAAAATTGGCTGCAGTTTGTTGGGGTGCTTCTAATCCAATTTACTGGTCATGCTGCTCACTTTCTTCTATTTTATCTTCTGTAATTCGAATCTTTTTGATTGTGAAAAGGTACTTAATTGGAATTCACCATGGAAAAAAAAGTAATATTGTTACAAGGATCTTGATGAGTGACAATTCTTGAGAATATAGTATTATTACTGGGCTACCGCTACTTCTGGGAAAGTGAATAGTTTTAATGTTGAAGGAAATTTCTGTGGGCTTTGAGCTGAATCTGTGTTAAAGAGGACTCTGGTTGTAAACTTTGTCACTCCTGTGAGAGACCATGTAAACCAGGGAGTCAGGGAGCTGTGTGACATGATATGGGAAAAAGTTTGCTCCTTTGCCTAATTTTTCTCAAAAGATCATTTATAAACCATTGAATTGTGAACCATTCACAATTTATAAACAATTGAGTTATGAACCATTGAATTAGTCTACCACCAAAAGACAGTAGCATTGACATGGTGGATAAGTGATCATTCTGAACATCTGTGGTGTTCCTTTAACCTATTTTTGTGTCCCCAGTATGATAATAGAACCTTCTCCACCACAGGAAAGAGCAGAACAATGGTGTGGATAGCCTCAGACTTTGATAAAAACCACTCCCTTGCTCTCCTGATGTGAGCAATAACCTGTGCTTCACAGGTATAAAAACATGCTGACTTTATTTTGCATCCATGGTGCCACCAAAATCATTAAGGACTTTAATTTTTTAAAATGCCACCCCCCTTAAGGAAAAAACCCACCTGTAACAAATTTGAGAGGGGTTGGTGATTTTTTTCAGCACTTATTTGTGCTCTGTTTTGTGGCAGTATTTATAGTTTCACTTTATCTGTCTAAGGAAGGTATGGAATTAGTAGTATACAATTGTGCATAAACCAAGCAAATAACTTATATAAAAACGTGTTTTGTGCAAATAAAAAAATGGTGACTTTTTGTAACTGTCTTTGCATTTCCATACTTCAGTTACCTAAACTGAATCTTTCTGGAGTATTATAAGTTTGGAGAGGGTGAAATAAGTTACTTTTCATAAACAGAGATGGCATCCATAAGACTAAGTTGCATCACTTTTGTATGACACTGTCTAAAAGAACCAATCTAAGAAAAAAAAAAGGAGGGAGGAAAAACCAAAAAACAAAAACAACTTCCTCCCCAGAAATTGGTTTTCAATTTTAGAACAAAGATTCTATCCTTTGTAGCTCAGCCAGTGGCCGATGGGCAAAATCAGTTGGGCGGCAGTTAGTACATGTCCATACCTGCAGGTGCAGCCTCCATATCCTTATTAGACCCCTCGGTTACAGACCCCAGTGGGACAGTGTTTGAAAAAATTACATTCGCTGTCTAGGAAACTGGGAACTGAAAGTCCAATATCTGCCTCAGTGGAGTTCTGGCACCTGCATTATCCCTTCTGGGAATATCAGAGTCAACAGCTGCACAGAGGCTTTTGCTGTTAACAGATATCATAAAAGGGTGGTTAGTATAAAGCTGCCTCTAGACATTACCAAGCACACAAGTACATGTCATTTGACATCCAGAGCATTCCATTGCCTTATACAAAAAGCCAGTGTATGTGAACTCACAACGTCGAACCAGTCCTCCAATTCAATGTGCATCCATTAAACCTGAAAACTGACAGAGGTGGGGGCTGTGGAAGGAAGATGTCAAGGTAGGAAGAAGGATCTTTGTTAGCTTTGCACATTTCTGTTCCATTTGAAACTAGATGGCCAGGCTGAGGGGAAACCAGGAAGGATGAGGATTAAAGATCTGGGTCCTCAAGAACTTTCATTATCAACAGCACACAAGTGAGTTTCAGAAAGAAGAAGCGATGGCTACAGTGATACTGGAGAGCATCTTTCTCAAGCGATCCCAACAGAAAAAGAAAACATCACCTTTAAACTTCAAGAAGCGCCTCTTTCTCTTGACTGTGAATAAACTTTCCTATTATGAGTATGACTTTGAACGTGGGGTAAGTTTCTCTGCTGTGAAACTTGAGTTTCAAGGACCTGGCCTTAGATCTTCCTTGAGAAGGAAGTAGATCCTTTCTGTTTGGAGGAGGGAGGTGGTAGGGACCTGGGTACATTTCAAAGTAAGGAAAATGTTTCCTATCCTTGAACTAACTACAGCCATGCTGGCGCAAAAATTCAAAGGTGCTAAGAAGCTGGCGGGGTGGGAAGGATGAAATCTTACCATGGAATCTTGTAATTGGTGATCATTCATTAAATGTTGTTGAGAATGAAATCCAAGTCTAGAAAATTACTTTCTTACTTTTTATGGTAAAGCCACACACAGTCATCCACGCTTCTATAGTATGTTCCTTTATCTGATAGTCAAAAAATATTAGATTAATAGATCTGGAAGTTTTTTGTTTTTTTTTTCAAAATGACAGGTCCTGATGTAGACTGTGGGTGTCACCTCACTATGTTGAATGATTAGATAACAAAATCTAATCATCTAGTTGCTTAATCAGTCTTAACCTTTCTCCATTTTCTTCCTCATTCTCTTTCTCAGAGAAGAGGCAGTAAGAAGGGTTCAATAGATGTTGAGAAGATCACCTGCGTTGAAACAGTGGTTCCTGAAAAAAATCCTCCCCCTGAAAGACAGATTCCGGTAAGTAGAGGCCATTGTCAGAGCAGGAGTGTAGTGGTTAAGAAACTTGGAACACTTCAGTTCTCTGCAAATAAAATGGTGATGCTGTGCAATATGGTAAATCTCCCTTATAAAATTCTTCACTCTGCCACATATTGGTTATATTGAGTCTCAGCATTTTCCACCCAGATGCAGAACAGCTCACTTAACCTTGAAAGCTCCTAACACCAATTTTAAGACGACATATCAAATTTTCTTTTTGTTGTAAAGATTTTATTTTTTAAAAATAATCTCTACACCCAAGGTGGGGTTTGAACTCACAACCCTGAGACCAAGAGTCACATGCTCCACCAACTGAGCCAGCCAGAGAGAGGCCCCAATATTTAAAATTTTCAAACTGATCAGAGATTATTAGTTTTACTGTCTCAGATACCAGGGTCGGATTTATAGGTTTGAGTTAGTCTGAAGGCCAGAATCTAGGGCTCTGAGTCATGAGATTCTTTAATAACTCAAGGTTTAGTCTCCTCTCATTTCCCAGAGGCTCTCTAAGGCGTAACACTTACAGATTTCAGATTGAATTTTTTTTTAATTTTTTTTTCAACATTTATTTATTTTTGGGACAGAGAGAGACAGAGCATGAATGGGGGAGGGGCAGAGAGAGAGGGAGACACAGAATCGGAAACAGGCTCCAGGCTCTGAGCCATCAGCCCAGAGCCTGACGCGGGGCTCGAACTCACAGACCGCGAGATCGTGACCTGGCTGAAGTCAGACGCTTAACCGACTGCGCCACCCAGGCGCCCCTCAGATTGAATTTTTTAAAAATATATCATTTATTATTTTTCCTTATTATAGAAACTCTATAAAATACTTTAAAAAGCACAATAAAGAAGATAAAACCATGCATAATCCCATTATCCAGGTAAAACAGCTATTGTATGTTGGTATACAGAGTTTCAGATGTTTTTCTCCACTAGCAACACACATATTCATACTAATATGTATGTTATACATTTATTTTTTAAGCCTATTTATTTAAGTAATCTCTACAACAAACATGGAGCTCAAACTCACACCCCCAACATCAAGAGCCACATGCTTTTCTGCCTAAGTGTGCCAGGCACCCATATGTTAGGTATTGAAAACATAGAATCATACTAAACATCTTGCTTTGTAACGTTTTCAATTTAACAATATATGGAATATTTTCCCATGACAATAGATACTTTTTAATAACGTGATTTTAATGACTATGTGGTATTCTCTATTATGAATATATTGCAATTTGTTTAACTGACCTATTACTACACATTTGTTTCCAACTTGATATTATAACCATGTTAAGAATATCCTTGCATACATCTTTATGTACATTTGCTATTCATTTCCTTAAAATAACTTCCTAGAAGTAAAATATTGTTCTTCCCTTTATTAAATTTGTACAATTTGGTTATGTTTATCTTTATATTCTATTTTCTAGAAGTGGAATTTAAATTTCATGCACTCCTACAAGCTATGTATGAGAGTATCTCTATTTCTCTACATTCTTTCCAGTATCAGACATTTTAAATATTTGTTAATTTGGCAGCCAAGAAAAGGGATATTTCATTTCTGACTTATTTTGCAATTTTTTGTTACTCATAAGGTTGAATGTTTATGTCTTACAGCTTATTTATATTTTTCCTTCTGTGAATTGCCTGCTCATTTTTTTTTGCCCAATTTTCTGCTCATATGTTTACCTTATTCTTAGTACTTTTTAAGAGATCTTGATATATTAAGAGTATTAATGCTTAGAGTGCCTGGGTGCTTCAGTCAGTTGTGTCTGATTCTTGATTTTGGCTCAGGTCATGATCTCACAGTTCTTGAGTTCGAGCCCCATGTCAGGCTCTGTGCTGACAGTGCAGAGCCTGCTTGGGATTCTCTGTCTCCTTCTCTCTCTACTCCTCCTCTGCTCATTTTCTCTCTGTCAAAATAAACATTTTTTAAAAAAGAGTATTAATCCTTTAATATGTGTTGAAAATATTTTTCCCAGTTTTTCATTTATATTTTAATTTTATGGTGTTTTTTACTTGTTCATTTTTACCATACTGGGTTTTAAAGTCTATGCCATCAAATTACTTCATCTTTTTCCTAATGTTTCTAACCTTTAGCATTATATTGGAAAGGCCTTGTCTCCCACAAGATTATACATACAGTCAATATGTTTTTTTTCTCAGTCATTCATAATTCCATTTTTATATTAACCTCTTGAATCCATCCAGAATTTACTTTGGTGTATGGTGTGAAATAGCCACCTAACTCTCCCTCAACACACATACCAATATTAGTGGTAAAATGTTTGTCCCAGCACCACTGATTGAGTGACCTCCCTTTCCTTGATGGTTTGAAATGTGTGAGTTTTTTTTTTTTTTTGAACACGTATGTGCTGGTTCTTATGGATATGTGTCCCTATTGGGTTAAAGGAAGCAATCTCTAATAAGAATTGTCTGTGCAGGAATGTCTTCTGGAGCCACTGCAAAGGACTCCCAGTACCCAAGGAAATCCAAAAGACAGCAATGTATCAATTAACAACCATGCTCTCTTCTTTTTTAAGTTGTTTTTTTTTTTAATGTTTATTTTTGAGAGACAGAGAATGAGCAGGGGAGAGGCAGAGAGAGAGAATCCAAAGCAGGCTCCAGGCTCTGAGCTGTCATCACAGAGCCCGACGTGGGGCCCAAACTCACAAGGCATGAGATCACGACCTGAGCCGAAGTCGGATGCCCAACCGGCTGAGCCACCCAGGCACCCTTAAGTTGTTATTTTAATTCTAGTTAGCTAACAGGCAGTGTTATATTAGTTTCAGGTGTACAGTATAGTAATTCAATAGTCCCATACTTTCCCTGAGCTCATCACGAGTGCACTCCTTAATTTCCATCACCGGTTTAACCCAACACCCACCCACCTCCCCTCTGGTAACCACCAAATTGTTCTCTATACTTATCTGTTTCTTGCTTTGACTCTCTCTCTCTCTCTCTCTCTCTCTCTCTCTCTCATTTTTTCCTTTGCTTGTTTATTTTGTTTCTTAAATTCCCTATTGAGTGAAATCATATGTTTTTTGTCCTTCTCTGTCCAACTTACTTTACTTGGCATTATACTCTCTAGTTCCATCCATGCTTCAAATGGCAAGATTTCACTCTTTTTAATGGATGAATAATATTCCATTGTATGTGTGTGTATACACACACACACATCTATATGTCTATATCTATATCTATATCTATATATCACATCTTCTTTAACCATTTATTAATGGATGGACACTTCAGCTGCTTCCATATCTCAGCTATTTAAGTAATACTGCTATAAACATAGGGGTGCATGTGTCCCTTTGAATTAGTGTTTTTGTATTCTTTGGGTAAATGACAAGTAGTGCAATTGCTGGATCATAAGGTAGTTCTATTTTTAACTTTTTAAGGAACTTCCACACTGTTTTCTACAGTGGCATGTGCTTTCTTCTTTCATTGCAGAGAAGGGGTGAAGAATCCAGTGAAATGGAGCAGATTTCAATCATTGAAAGGTTCCCTTATCCCTTCCAGGTAAGGTATTTTCTCTCACCAGCTCTCAAAGGTACCTGTAATGTAATAATTAGGGGTGGGGTGCAGGGCACAGTGAAGAATACTAGGTCCCAGTGAACAGAAGTTGAGGTGGATAAGGACACTCAAGTGAGAAATGACACTGACATGGGCTAAGAGTGTTTGTTTTTTTTTTTTCTGTTTTCCCAATTTAACACAGTACCTTTTAGTCCCTACACCTCAAAGAGAATCCATAATGGCAGTAATTGTATTATGGTGTGTCTTGTCTATGGTAACTACATTAAGAAAGATGCTCTGTTGAGTGAGCATTTCACTTCCTTCTGGTTCTGCCTATCTGTCTAATGGTGGTCATGTGGGTTGAAAAGACAGAAAAGGGGAGGGAAGGAGTAGTATTAGGAAGTTCAGTATGGGGAAGGCTTATTAGACTTCTACATAAACCTAAATTCTATTCAAGTCTGAAATAACTGAAAAGCCACATAGATATCTGTTTCATAGGTGCATTTTAATCCATGAGGGAGAGCAAGAGCTTCAGATTCAACCTTCAGTTTGGCTTGCTTACATCCTGAAAACTCTGTAGGTCATATGTTGTGAATATAGCAGCCTCTGCAAACAGTGAAAGCCAGAAAAGGAAGTGGAAAGTCTCAGGGGAGGGGGCTTTCTGTCATGGATTTATGAGCACAGCAAGACTAACAAGCAAAAAGAAAAATTTGCAAGGATCTTGTTCACATCCTTGACTGTATCAAAATTTACAAAACCTATGAAGGAGGAGTGTTTTAGACATCGTTTTTACTACTGTTGTTTTTCAACAAGATGATGTTGTTTGGCTGGGCTAGTGGATAATACCATTAATTAATTCAAATTAATTTACATTTGATTTCAGAATCCAATATGTAATGTTTGTGAGGATTGGAACCACATGTTTCATGCACCTCTACAATACCAAACACAATGCCTTGTACATGTGAAGTTTTTTAAAAATACTGTTTGATTTGATGACAATGCTTAATATATACTTTACTCTTTTTGAAGTAAATATATACTTTACTCTTTTGTGGTTCCAAACTTGGTTTATTTTGGCAATGGGAGGCCACTAGGGCATGGGAGGAAAATTAGCTCTGAGTTAAAATTTTGTTACATATTATAATCCATATGTACCGATGAAGAATTCTCTCCTATACAAACACAAAGTTTAATAAGATCATAACATATTTTTGTTGGATAAACACAAATCCTGTCTCCATCATGAGTAGAGGGAAATATTATGAACTATGTTTACACACAAATTGAAACACAGGTCAAGAGGATCTAGGACCATTTAAAAAGCTAAGAGCCCCTAAGTCCTACTACCCTGGATATTAATTTGTTCAGGAATTTATCAGACAGCTCACATGACCCCAGCTCCACTGCTGACTGAAGACCCTAACTTTCTTTGTTTTCCACTATGAATATACAAAGTTGTAGCTTAAGATTATTTCTTTCAAAAATTTTCTTCTTTTTTCTGAATCCTAACTGCTGAAGTCTGTGTGTCCATTGCCTCAGGTTGTATATGATGAAGGGCCTCTTTATGTCTTCTCCCCAACTGAAGAACTGAGGAAGCGTTGGATTCATCAGCTCAAAAATGGTGAGAATTATTTTGAAAATAAACTAGTTTTCAAAGAAAGAAGGGAAAAAAGGAGAGGGAGAGGGAGAGAAGAAGAGAGAAAGGAGCAGGGGGACAGGGAAAGAGAGATGGAGGGAGGGAGAAAAGGAGAGACTAAAGAAGAATGGATGGAAGGAGGGAGGTGACAGAGAAAAAAGAGAAGAGGTGGAAGAGACAAAAGGAAAGAGAGGAGGGAGGCGGGAAGGAGGAAGACAGGGAGGGAGGAAGGAAAGAAGACGATAAATTGTATTTTATCCAATATTAGTGATACAATTGAGTTATTAAACTCCTTTCCTTCCATTATATGAATAAAAGATAACGTACAAGACAAAGAGTTTCAATGGAGTTCCACCATTATCTCTCTAGTGCAATTCTGTAGTTGTAGGCACCTCTATTTCCCTATCTATAAAATAGTCCCACTCTTTCCACCAACTATAAGGGTGGTATGGCATTCAATGGTTATTGCAATATTTCAAATCCTAACTATAAAATATCTAGTTCCCAAAACTTAGATGATTATGAGAATGCTTGAAGTCAGAGCAGAGAAGCTTCTTCCAAGCCCTCTTCTGCCACTAATAAACTGGGTGACCTCTAGCAAGTAGGCCAACAAGCTCCTTTTGAAGCTTAGTTTCTTCTTCTGGAATAGAAATAATAATGGTACCTGCCATACCTACCTCCAGGGTTGTCTTAATGATCAAATGATATAATGTTTATGAAAACACATGGAAAACTATAAAACACTGTATAGGAAAGCATGGTACATCTCTTTCATGGGTAAATATTTTCTAAGGAACTATTTCATGTTCCTTGTTTTGTGAGGACTTAAACTTGCATAGTTTCAGCATTTCACAAAGACCATACAACATGCTCAGATAAACTTGACTCTAAAGTCTTGCAGCACAGGATGCATGCACACATATTTGTGTGTATATATAGCCACATGTCAAGTGACTGAAAGATTAACTGGTTGAGTTGACATCAGGAAAGGCTGCCTAGAGAAACAGGAAGGATGGCAGACTGATAACAGCATGGTTGGGTTATTGCACGACAGCCCTTTTTGTTAACATTTAGATTCTGATATTCGGTGGCTCACCATACCACCCTTATTCACTCCCTTGAGTGCAAGTCTGATTGGCCAAAATAAAAATCACCAAATCTTTCAAGCTGAAAGAGGAGAGGAGAAAGGAAGAAAGGGGTCATTTATTGTATTCTTGCTATGTGCCATACACCAAGCTAGGTACCTTATATTTATTGTCTCATTTAATTCTCACAGCAACCGTGGGTTAAAACAACAATAATAGGGGTGCCTGGGTGGCTCAGTCGGTTAAGTGTCCAACTCTTGGTTTTGGCTCAGGTCATGATTTTGCAGTTCATGAGTTTGAGCCCTGAATCGGGCTCTGTGCTGGCAGCTCAGAGCCTGCTTAGGAATCTTTCTCTCCCTCCCTTTCTCTGCCCCTCCCTGGCGTGTGCTGTCTCTCTCTCTCTCAAAACAAATAAATAACTAAAAAATAAACTTTAAAAATAAAAAAATAACAACGCTTAATAAGCACTTATTATGTACCAGGCTCTGTGCCAAGTGCTTCAAATGTACTAGCTTTTAATTCTCATGATAAGTTTATGAAGTATGTATTATTCCCCTATTTATAGATGAGGGAACTGAGGTTCAAAGAGGTTCAGTAACCTGCTCATGGTCACATTCATGGGCACACTTGATGGTAAAGCCTGGATTTTTACCATATCCCTAGGTCTGAATGATTCCAGAGCCCAAGTTTAGTACATAGTTTCATGCTGGTTTGTTCTCAAGCCCAGAAGTTATACCTGTAGTTAGCTGCAAGATATTCTAGAGTAAGGCCATATTGAGATGGCAAATTAGTGATATCTTATACCACAAAGTCCAGTTCTTGGGATTTTTTTGGGGGGCATGTTTTGAGGTAAGAGGCCTGCTTTAGCCCTAGGGGTACAAAATGAGCACACAGAAGGCATATATGTTTGTATTTCTTTGGTTTCTCTCCACAGTGCCTAATACAGTGACTTGAATGCAGAAAGGGACCAATGGTTATGCTCACTGATTTTTCTGTAAGAGTATACAACCACCACTAACTAGGGCTCCATGTTGATGGACAGCTAGGAGTTAGTTTGGAAATAGGGGAAAGTGGGACATACTGAGCAAGAACCAGAAGAGAAAAAAAAGTGACACATGCAAGTTAGTAACTCCCTTACACTTAAACTACTAATTTCAAAACCAGTCATAAGTTAGCCTAACAAATATTTACTGAGTGTCCACTATATTCAAGGTATTAGCAACGACTGAATATCCAGTGTGTGGGGCGCCTGGGTAGCTCAGTCCGTTAAGGGTCTGACTCTTGATTTTGGCTCAGGTCATGATCTCACAGTTTGCGAGATTGAGCCCGGTGTTGGGCTCTACACTGGCACTGCAGAGTCTGCTTGGGATTGTTTCTCTCTCCCTCTCTCTCTGCCCATCTCCTGTTTGAGCTCTCTCTCTCTCTTTCTCTCTCCTCTCTGTCTCTCTCTCAAAATAAATAAATAATCATTAAGAAAATAAAAAAAAGAATATCCAGCTTGTAAACTTGGCTTATTAACTCAAATGGCAAACTTATAATGCTGATTATGCACTACTATTAAAGTTCATTAGGTAAGTAAAACTACAACAACAGTAAAAATAAAGCCAAAACAAATAGAAAACACTACCATTTGAGTTGGGTTATTAGTGTGGATAGGTAGTGTGGGAAGGTACAATTTTGCCTTTTCTTCTCTTGTGTTTCTGAAGGCATTTCATTTCCAGTTGTTCTACACCTGGGTGTATGTCTTCTTGAACCTGCTTGGGCTGACAATATGACCCAAAAAAGTAGGCAACTTGTAACAAAATACCATAGTTGCTGGGGGATTTAGGTGCAAGTCGTAACAATACCAAGACAGCCCCAGGTTCTGCAATGCCAATTGTGAGATAATCTAGGAGGCATAAAGTCCTACTCTAGGGATAAGTTATCCCACTGTAGGATAAAATGCAGCAGTTGAAAATCACAGGCATGATAAGGAGACTTCATCTGAGTACTGGCTACCTCTGCAGGGTTATTGGCTATTAAAGTGCCTGAGGGAGCCTTCTGAGGTCCTGGATTAGAGTGGTGGTTAAATGGTTGTAGACAAATGTGGCTAGTTGTACATCTTAGATTGCACACTTCATTAGGTGTAAGTTATACCTCCATTTAAAAGTAGGGCTTCAGGTACCCCATATCCAGCTGCCTTCTTTTTTCAGTGGCACTTTCCATGCAGAGGTTGTATCCCTGAGGACTTGGGCTCTCTCCTTCCATTTCCTTGAACACAACAGTGGGCACTTTAATGTTATAGCACCACAGATATTTGTCTACATTCACTCTAGAATATTGGTTTGGACAAGCTTAATAGATCCTCTCCTAATTGCAACTTCAAAAATAAGCAAAAGTCCTGACCTCACCAAAAATGAAAGAAAGAGTGGCATTGACAAAACTGCGACAACTAATATAGGGAGGAAGAACTCATTCATAATGAAACAGAATTTTAGACATTATCCTGATAAATATGAACATGAGAGACCAGCCCATCAAGTACTTGGAGAAAGTGCACCAACCATTAGTGCTTCCCAGACAGAGTTGGCCCTATGCATTGGTGAAGTAGTCTTTCCTGGCCCTCTCACTTGGACACTGCCTTAGTTCAGGCTGTAATAAAAAATACCATAGACCAGGTGGCTTAAACAAAAAACGGTGATTTATCACCATTCTGGAATCTGGGGAGTCCAAGATCAATATGCCAGTGGATTTGGTTTCTGGTGAGAACCCTCTGCCTGGCTTGAAGAATGGCCACTTTCTCCCTCTGTTTTCCTATGGCAGAGAGAGACAGAATCTCTCTCTCTTGTCTCTTCTTATAAGGGCACTAATCCCATCATGAGAACTCCATTCTTATGACCTAATTACCTCCCTAAGCCTCCATCTCCTAATACTATCGCATTGAGTGGCTTCATCATATGAATTTCAAGGCAGGGGGGGCATAAACATTTAGTCCATAACAGATGAATGTTTTTGAAATTCCCTCCTAGGTAGCTGGAAATACCAGTTCTGGATTAGCCAGCAAGAGAAAGGGTGTCATCTTCAAGGGACACTGTAAGAGGCAGGCATTATTTAGCAATGTAGGGTGAGTTCTTAATGAGTCTTCTGTAGGGAGAGAGGGCAGAAAGCATTATGTGCCTTCATCCGCATATTAGCATAGCTTCGTTTTGTAGAGCAGCCAGTTATTGGTTAAGAATTCTGGTCTGCCAGTGTGCAGGCCTGCACCAGAGGGCCTTCAAATCCCTGGGTGAAGAGTAATGGTGGGAGGACAGAGGGGCAGAGAATGGAGGTAGTGAGAGTGATCAGTCCTGGCTGACATCTGGAATGTTGTTCAGAATTGCCAGTGCCTGGTAATAATAAAAGACAGACTTTTGGTTGGTTTTACTAGTGTTTTAAAATTCTCTAGAGACAATGCAGCCCCTTAGCTTGCACCTCCATCTGACTAGGTCCCACCACCCTGTACCTGGTATGATGGTGAAGGGGAGTGCTGAGAAAGTAAAGGATGAGGTTAAGCAGGGAACAGTGGTTAGAAGTCCTCCAATCCATGTTTAGAAAAGCATCACAATAGTACTTTAAAAAAAACAGCACTTTTGTTAATTTGCCTGTGAAATGCACCTGGCCACCAGAAGCTTCTAGGCTTCCCTCAAAGTCTTAAGTGAATGAATGGAGTGAGACTAGCAAGCTCTTAAGGACTTGAGTTGGTCTCTACAGAGGAAAAATTTCCCTTGTTTTTTTAAAATTTTTTAATATTTATATATTTTTGAGACAGAGACAGAGCATGAGCAGGGAAGGGGCAGAGAGAGAGGGAGACACAGAATCTGAAGCAGGCTCCAGGCTCTGAGCTGTCAGCACAGAGCCTGACGTGGGGCTCGAACTCGTCAACTGCAAGATCATGACCTGAACCGAAGTTGGACGTTCAACCAGCTGAGCCACCCAGGCACCCCTGCCTTGTTTTTATCTTAAAAAAAAAAAAAAGTTACATGGGCTTCTCCTTAGCAGTAAAGGCTGAAATGTGCAAGTCCTCAAATATGCATATTTTTAGACCAGCCAAAGTCTTTTTGTCCCAATGATAGCTATTGTCAATTATTTCAGTTGTCTTGGCTCTATCTGTTATCTGACAACTTGATCCCATGGATGACTTATCTAATTGACTTCATGCTCAGGTTCTTGAGATGCCACAGTATTAAAAACAGTAATACCAATTCCTCCTATCTGCAAACCACTCTATTCTTTGCAAAGTACTTTGGCTTCTGGGAGACATTTTGAACCTCATGACTCTGTGAAGGAAATGGAGGTGCTGTGTTTATCTCCCACAATGAGCTGAACCCACCTTGGTGGCCCTAGGAAGACCGGAACCATGTTTATTCTAGAGGCAGAATCACTTCATTTGCTCCTGAGCTCCATTCTATTGTCTATTCTATGAACATGGAAAGCCTGATGCAGATAATCTCACTAAAGTAGGTATCTCTAAAAGACCACTCAGGTAGCTGGGACATTGGCATGTTGAGAACTGGAGTGAGTTTGGCATGGGCTTATTGTTTCCTGTATCTGGAAAAGAACACCATAATCAACACGTTGCCTTACAGGAATATTGTAATGGTTACTGGGAAAACAGAGAACATATATATTTTGTTGTTGTTGTTCTTGGGCTCTGGACACATAGATATTCTTACCACCGTAGTCAGGAGATAGTCATCATGAGAGACCACTGAAGAGGACTGCACAAGAACTCTCCAGGGACAGGGATATGAGCCAACTGGTCCTGAGGAAGGGGCAGTTGTTTGGAGCTCACCACTAACCTTAGTCAAAGAGGAAAACATGCAAATGGTGGATTCTTTGGAATTTCAGATGTGATCTCTTTCTCTCTCTCTCCCATTACAGTAATCCGGTACAACAGTGATCTGGCACAGAAATACCATCCTTGCTTCTGGATCGATGGGCAGTATCTCTGCTGCTCTCAGACAGCCAAAAATGCTATGGGCTGCCAAATTTTGGAGAATAGGAATGGAAGTAAGAGATCTCATCAATATAACTTCTCCCTCTTTTGACCCTATCCACCACCCTTTCAAGAGTCTGTCAAACCCAGGTTTGTACATTTTGCCCACTGCACAAAGGGGCCTGGGAGAGGGGTTTAGCTGGGGCCGAAATCCTGCTGGCACTCTGCTGTCCAAGCTGTGCAACCTGGTACAGGGCTGTACGTACTTAGACTTTTTATAACTTTCCTAAAGGTAATGTATACAAAAGCTAAGTTCCTAATCAAATCTGTCCCTGGGCCCTTTCCTAAGATGCATTCTATATCAAAACTGGTTTCTTACTTTGTAGGTTTAAAACCTGGGAGTTCTCACCGAAAGACGAAAAAGCCCCTTCCTCCCACACCTGAGGAGGACCAGGTATACAGAGAAATTGGTGCTGCTACTGTTTAAATAGAAACTTACAGGGGCACCTGGGTAGCTCAGTCGGTAGAGCATGTGACTCTTGATCTTGGGGTCATGAGTTCAAGCCCCATGTTGGGTGTAGAGATTAATTTAAAAATAAAATTAAAAATTAAAAAAAGAGAAACTTACAGTCACACCCTGAAAGCACACTAGTCTTAGAACTCCCAGGGGACTTAGTAATGTTAATTGGTGTTCTTGAGGAAACATGGGATTTGTCCTAATTAGGACTTCCTATTCAGTGGTAAGATAGAGGGCTATTGCAAAGCTCTTGGCAATGATTTAATCCAATCACGTCTTTAAAACAAAACAAAGCCTGATATTTTTAAGTGAAAAATATTTTCAAACATAGAGTTGTAAGAATTTAACAGTGAAAACCCATATACCCAATACTTGATCCTACCACTAGTATATTATTATTGATTTTTTGGTTACTTTTTGAAATCTAAAAACCTCTTTCTCATATTTTATGAATAAGCAGGGCTGGAGTTATTATGCTCATTTTACAAACAAGGAAACTAAGATTTGGAGCCACTTAGTAGATCCATGTACTTGTTTAATGCCAAGGTTTCTAGATCATGACTGTTCGTGATTTTTGTCTGGGAAGTTTTAAAAATACTGGTGCCTGGGTCCCATCCCCAGATATGTTGACACTATTGATATAGGAAACAGCCTATGATTATTAGCCACTCTCTAGATGATTCTGATGTGCACTCCAGGCTGAGAAGCCAGCATAGATACTTGAAAACTGGTTGAATAAATGCTGAATAAACATTTTTTTAAATTTTTTTTTTCAACATTTTTTATTTATTTTTGGGACAGAGAGAGACAGAGCATGAACGGGGGAGGGGCAGAGAGAGAGGGAGACACAGAATCGGAAACAGGCTCCAGGCTCCGAGCCATCAGCCCAGAGCCCGACGCGGGGCTCGAACTCACGAACCGCAAGATCGTGACCTGGCTGAAGTCGGACGCTTAACCGACTGCGCCACCCAGGCGCCCCTAAACATTTTTTTAAATTCCTGATTTAGGTTAGACTGGTGTCTCTAGTAAGCCTGAGAGTTGGGGGAGAAGAGGAGAGGGCTTGATATCTAGCCAAAATCCCCTACTTTTTCCTCCTCAACTACACAGATCTTGAAAAAGCCTCTGCCCCCTGAGCCAACAGCAGCACCTGCCTCTACAAGTGAGCTGAAAAAGGTTGTAGCCCTTTATGATTATATGCCAATGAATGCAAATGATCTACAGCTACGAAAGGGTGATGAGTATTTTATCCTGGAGGAGAGCAACTTACCCTGGTGGAGAGCGCGGGATAAAAATGGGTGAGTCCACTCCAGCCCTTCTGGAGCCTTGTGCCCACCTTCTCCACACACATGCAAAATCTTGCAGCATGATTCCCCCGTTCAGTATCCCAATCAGAAGTTGTTCTTCCCACACCAAAGTGACTATGCTGTCCTGCCAAGTACTTCCCAGAGTGCAGCTCTACTTGTGGCCACCTCTCGGAGCCTACAAGGTATGGCCCATATGTTGTCATGCGCATATAATCAGCGCTGCACGTGCAGAAGCTACACACTTCACTGGCTTAGCCATGCATCAGTGACATGATCCTCTTTGAGGGAGGAATGTGGTTTATATACCTCCATTTGAGATCTGTTCTGAGCCGGGGGATACAGGCATATGAATCTGTATCCCCTGCCCCTGCCAGGATGGGAAGTACTGGATGATATACCACACTGTCTCCTCTACAGGCAGGAAGGCTACATCCCTAGTAACTATGTCACCGAAGCAGAAGACTCCATAGAAATGTATGAGTGAGTATGCTTATGTTCCCAGCACACAGTCTTCCCAGACCAATGGAATATAATGTATACATTCTTATACTTTCAGTAAAATTTTTATTTTAAGATACTTACTAAAGCCACTGCCAACTGGGTCAAATGATGCCACCACCCTAAGTCAGTGGGTATGTCTTACCCTCACCCCAAACACTCTTTTCTTATGAGAGCTGGAGAGGTCATCACACAACCTCACCTACCCAAATTCAGAAGAACCATTCAAAGAAAAGTATTTGACAATTTGATAAGAAAGGGTGAAAACGTCAAACTTCTGTTGTTTTCCTTTCTCCCTAATCATGTAAATGGATTATCCTTGAATGTCCTGTCCCTAATCCCTTCCTTGAACCCCTTTGCCTTTTGTCCTGTGCTCTTCATTTCCAACCAGTCTTTGGGAAAGGGATGCTGTGTGCTATGCACATGATAGGTACTCAATAAATAGGAGTTGATTGAACTGACTGAACCACTGGCATAGATGAGCCGTGAAAAGTGCTCTAACCTCTAAGCTGCTAACCCTGTGGCCTAAGAGCCACTGAAGCATTCTCCCTTTACAGGTGGTATTCTAAACACATGACTCGGAGTCAAGCTGAGCAACTGCTAAAGCAAGAGGTAAGTGTGTGACCACAGGCAAATGGCATTCTCCTTGCACAACAAGTGAGGGCTTGCTTCTATCTGTCACCTCAAGGCAAGGCAGTGTCAAGGCTGTCATTTTATTTGGGGGGGGTCTCAATTACACTTTTCAGTATCAAAAGCAATGAGGCTGCAGCTCAAACATGGAACTTGGCGGTAAAATCAAGGCTTCAGTTTTCTCTCAGGTTTGGGCAGGTGGGATGCAGGTGTGAGCACCACTTCCTCCTTAAAGTCAGCTTCTTTTTCATTGTTTCAGGGGAAAGAAGGAGGTTTCATTGTCAGAGACTCCAGCAAAGCAGGAAAATATACTGTGTCTGTGTTTGCTAAATCTACAGGGTGAGCATTACTGTTCCAAGGCCCTGGGGACAAAGGGGAGAGGTTCTTTAATAGTGTGCCTCTCCTACTACCTGTGTGCCTTAAACTAAAAATTCACTTTACTTTGGGTCCTGCTGACCTTTGTTCTCAAGTTGCTGACTCAGCACCCACTTCCTTAGGGACTCTCAAGGGGTGATACGCCATTATGTTGTGTGTTCCACACCTCAGAGCCAGTATTACCTGGCTGAGAAGCACCTTTTCAGCACCATCCCTGAACTCATTAACTACCATCAGCATAACTCTGCAGGTGAGTATCAGGGGTACCAGAGAAGAAGGGTGTGACAAGAACCAGTAGAAGCAATTCAGGACAAAGTGGTGAGGGGACAAAAAGCCTCACAAAGCAGTGCAAATTAGCTGTGAAAGAAAACCCTTATGATGCTGGGTAGAGGTCAAGTAAAGAGGCAGTCAAAGGCAGACTTTACACCCAGTACAGACTGACTTCTTATTTGGTGACTGAATCTCAGTGGTAAGGAAAGACATAGAAGATACTGGTAACTAATAAATCAGCAAGTATTCATTGAGTTCCTATTGTGTCAGCAGTTTTCTTGATACTGGAGGAGAACACAGTAATTAGTCAAGGTCCTTGCCCTCAAAGAACATACAGATTAGAAAATATCAGAAGACAGTTTCTAAGTCTGGTAGGCATTTGAAAACCTGGGAGATTGGTGAGGGCATGAATACATTGAGAAGACTTGTTGCTGTCTGCTATCCCCATGCAAGGCAGTGTCAAGGCTATAATTTTATGGGGTCCCAATTACACTTTTCAGTATCAAAAGCAGAAGTAGAATGTGAGCTAAGCCTGGGCTTGGAGGTGGGGATATATTTAGTTGGGGAGTGTATTTCAATTAGTATTTATCTCTTTTTTTCTGAAAATCCTTTTGTGAAAGGAGAAACTTGCAGAAAAATTTGGGCTCGTGAAGATCTTCTGGGATTCAAAATGTACCAGAAAGATAAATATCAGAAGTGTAAGGCTTTAAGCGAGGGTGTGTATGACATCCCACCTCCTACACTGCACCAGCAGCATGACCCTCTTTGTATGTTTCAGGACTCATATCTAGGCTCAAATATCCAGTGTCTCAACAAAACAAGAATGCACCTTCCACTGCAGGCCTGGGCTACGGTAACTTCTTATTTCTCTAGGGTAGGGTGGACCGATCAGTTGCAAGGACCACCTTTGGCAGACCCAATTAGACCTTGCAGCACATTGTTCTGCACCAGCTGCCTCAAGGAAGATTAAAACAAAGCCAAACAAGTTATTTAATAATTCTTCTTGCCCTGGTGGCTCCTACTGGGACTGCAAAAACAGATTCATAAAGGGATTATTTTTTAATTGTGGTAAAAAAAATAACCATAAAGGAATTTTAACAGATTGTCTAGTTTCTCCTTCCTTTATGGCTAATTGGCACCTAAAATTCCAATTCCTTCAACCAGTAACCACCCTGTCCCTGAGATTTTCCCAGGCAAAGAGACATTAGTACTCCTGAACATTTCCTTTTTACCACTTGCCTATTACTACCCCTAGTAGAGATTCTTATCTATTGTAGGAATTATACATACATGACTCCCAAAGAATTGTATCAAGGCTTTGTTGTTATAGGATCATGGGAAATCGATCCAAAGGACCTGACCTTCTTAAAGGAGCTGGGGACTGGACAATTTGGGGTAGTGAAATATGGGAAATGGAGAGGCCAGTATGATGTGGCCATCAAGATGATCAAAGAAGGCTCCATGTCCGAGGATGAGTTCATTGAAGAAGCCAAAGTCATGATGTGAGTTACAGCCCAAACTCAACTCTCAATCCAGTTGCTGGAGTCTAGGAATTACCAGGACTGTTTCCACTGTGGCTTAAGGTGACTTAGAGTAGGAGAGATTTGGGACCAGGGCCTGAGGTCAATCTTTGATTGGTGGGAATACTAACTGCTGAGGTAATCATTTATTTATCTTAGATATTGGTTGATAATAGTGTTGATCACAGGGTTGTACCATCTCAGTAGCATTTAAGGATAAATGTGAAAAATGAACATTTCAAAAGGAAGACTGATTCTGATTACCCTTATTATTCAGTTAGCCCTGGGCTTATTTTCTGCTCTATTTACAGGCTTCAAATCCCTCTCTACTCTCACATATTAGGCATATTTGTGGTTTAGGGTGGGAAGGAGGAAAGTCAACTTGTTATCATGGTCCCTTACCTGATACTCTACTTCCAGGCCAACTCTTTTCCTCTCCAGCCCCTTTCTTATTAGTATGCAGAGCCAGAAAGGGAGGACTGGTTTGTTGCCTCTCCTGTAGGAATCTTTCCCATGAGAAGCTGGTACAGTTGTATGGCGTCTGTACCAAGCAGCGCCCCATCTTCATCATCACTGAGTACATGGCCAATGGCTGCCTCCTGAACTACCTGAGGGAAATGCGCCACCGCCTCCAGACTCAGCAGCTGCTGGAGATGTGCAAGGATGTCTGTGAAGCCATGGAATACCTGGAGTCAAAGCAATTTCTTCACCGAGACCTGGTAGGACCTCAGAAGGATTGGCCTGGGACCAAGGACTGAGGGGGTGAAAGTAGCAGAGGAATATATATAGTACATGGATGAGGAGGGTTGCTGGAATCATCATTTCAGTTTTATCTAGAAGGCATTAACAGTTAGGTGAACCTATGCTCCAGTGGTCAACCAGTCAAGGATCTCTAGCCCCAACACAAGTTCTGCCATGGTGGTAGCTAGAGCTGTCACTCACTCGCATCCCCTACCACAGCAAGTAAAAATGGTGGGGTCCTTCAGGACAGAAGGGCAACCCTGCTTCCCATTGGGGCTGCTCCTGGCACAGAACCTCATTTGGTTACATCAGAGTACATTTGTACATTTGGATGCATTTGTTCTTTTATAAAAAAAATGTTGTATGTTACTTAGCAAGCACTTAAAAACACATTTAAAAAAAAACTGAGGGCACCTGGGTGGCTCAATGGATTAAGCATCTGACTCTTGATTTCATCTCAGGTCATGATTTCACGGCTTGGGCGTTCAAACCCCACATCAGGCTCTGTGCTGAGAGCGCGGAGCCTTTTTGGGATTCTCTCCCCGCCCCCTGCCCCTACCCTGCTTGTGCTCGCGCTCTCTCTCTCTCAAAATAAATAAATAAACATAAAAAGTGTTTTCATTAAAAATAAAAACTGAATTTCCAGCTTGTCTTGAAAATCTTGACCATCTTGAAACACCAGGCCCATTCTCACAGACCATGCTAACAGTCAACTGGTGCTGAGGAACAGCTACCTCCTTCAGACCAACTGCATGCCTTGCATTTTCCTGCAATCTATCCTCCCCACTTCACTCTCTCATTTTGCCTGTGCCTGCCTGGCCTCTAGAGGCATCAGAGTTTGTGCCACTGCTTATTTCAGGGAGGCCAAGGCTCAAATTGTCTTAGCCCACTGGCAGAAAAGCAAACCAAACAAAACAAACTTGCCTTCTGTTTTCCCTAATTCTCTCAACATTTTGGTAGAGGAAGAGGTGTCATGGAATCATCACTGTGAATGGAATCATTCTGCATGCCCTCAATGTTTTACTTATGTCTACATAGCAGGTGCTTTAGATGTATGGGAAATGTATCCAAGTTTCTCAGTGGCAACAGCTGACTCCTGCTGGGTGGGAAAGTGTCTCTGGAGTGAAAGAGATGAAGCTTCCCTGGCTTCATTCCCCTGGTGGGCAGAAGCTTTGTGCCTTTGTGACCTGTATGTCAGGGCCAGAGTCTCACTGGTAATTGTTGTACTACAGGCAGCCCGAAACTGTTTGGTAAATGATCAAGGAGTTGTTAAAGTATCTGACTTCGGCCTGTCCAGGTAAGTGTATCTTTTTCATCTTTCCCTCTACAAGTAAAATAAGGGTGCTTGGGTGACTCAATCATTCAAAGTGTCTGACACTGGCTCAGGTCATGATCTTGAAGTTCGTGAGTTCAAGCCCCGCGTTGGGCTCTGTGCTGACACCTCGGAGCCTGGAACCTGCTTCAGATTCTGTCTCCCTCTGTCTCTGCCCCCTCCCCTGTTCTGTCTCTCTGTCTCTCTCTGTCTCTCTCTGTCTCTCTCTCTCTCTCTCTCAAAAAATGAATTAACATTAAAAAAAGTAAAAGTAAAAATAGCACAGCACAAACATGAGGCAGCATTATTGTTTTTCACCCTCTCCCTTTCTTTTATCCCCCTCATTCTAGTCTTTCTGTTCCTTTTCTTTCTCTGAATTATTTAAGTCACTTCTTTTGTCCTTTGTATCCCTCTCCTCTATTTTGTCATTCCCTCTTTCTTTAGCCAATTTCTCCAAATATGTTTTTTTTTGATTTGTTAATCCTGTTGTCTCTACTCCTGAGCCTCCTTCTTTACTAATTAGTCTAATTCCCATGGGCAACTACAGACTAGAAGGAAGGAGAAAAGACAAAGAAGGACAGAGAAGAAGGGAGTATTATTTCACTTCATACTTTCTGTAACCATATTATTAATCAAGAAAGCTAATTCAGATAAGAAAACAGGATTACATTAAAAATAACTTTTTAAAAACATACTGATTGGCCCATAGGCATGCATTTGTGCAGTTCATATGACTGTGCCAAGAAAGTTTAAGCACATGTCAAGCTCTTCAAATCCTAACAGTAACAAGTCTTGAACCATCCACAGGTATGTCCTGGATGATGAATACACAAGCTCAGTAGGCTCCAAATTTCCAGTCCGGTGGTCTCCACCAGAAGTCCTTATGTATAGCAAGTTCAGCAGCAAATCTGACATTTGGGCTTTTGGTGAGTGGATAAAATTATACAGATTATATAGCTCAAAGGAAGGGAAAGCAGTGGGGAAATTGCCACTTTGTAACCTGCACACAGAGGTTACTATTTGTTGTTTTCATTCTTCTAATCCTTAGGGAGTGCTTACTATTGTCAGGCACCACAGGGGTTCCTGGGGCTAAAAACAGTAAAATAGACATGATTCCTGCCTTCTTAGAACTCACAATATATTGAGAGGAACAATTTATTCAGTATTCCACAGCTTCTGAATACTGATTATGTACCAAGGGACTCTACCAGACCCTAAAATTACAAATAAGAAGCTGTCTCTTTCCTAGAGGAGCTAATAGTCCAGTAAGACCCTGTTTACCCTCTAGTGTGGTCAGTACTACAGGAGAAGTTTGGACCAAATGCAAAATTCAAAGTGTAGGGAATCAGCTCCATCTAATATTTGACATTGATCTAGGAAGACTAGTGTCCCAACTACCTGAAGAGACTGCAAATCGACTTAATACATTTTTTCATTTTCTAGGGGTTTTGATGTGGGAAATTTACTCTCTGGGGAAGATGCCATATGAAAGATTTACTAACAGTGAAACAGCTGAACACATTGCCCAAGGTCTACGTCTCTATAGGCCTCATCTAGCTTCAGAGAGGGTATATAGCATCATGTACAGCTGCTGGCATGAGGTAAGTGTTTTGTTGGGACCTCTTAAGTGATTTCCTCAAGCTGTACTTTCCCATTTAGCCAGCCAGGCACCCAGTCCCCATGCTCCCTGGCCACATGGCGGCTGGGCACACACCGATAGCTACACACATTCTTGGACCCAGCCTGTACCCCAGTCCTTTGATGGCCAGAGGCTTTCCCAGGCTCATCCAGTTTTCCCTAGAGTATCATTAACAGACTCCATTACCAACTCAGCTTTAGGGAGAGGGGATGTTGTGGGCCCATGTCACCTAGCATAAGCAGGCAGTTAACAGTACTCAGGCAAATGTATGGACGCTTACAATGAAGAGAAAAGTCATTAAAATTTGTGTTGATTCCTTTGGAAGTCATTGGCTTTTTCTTCTACTTTACTAACTGCCAACCTTTTCTGGCTGTGGTCCTAAATGGCATTAAAAAAAATCCTGAAAGGAACTAAAATAGGCAGTGGTCATTTTTAATTTTTTAAATGTTTATTTAGTGTTTTGAGAGAGCGAGAGAGAGAGAGAGAGAGCGAGAGAGAGAGAGAGAGAGAGAGCAAAGCAGGGGAGGGGGGGAGGGGGCAGAGAATCTGAAGCAGCCTCCATGCTGACAGCAGAGAGCCCAATGTGGGGCTCGAACTCAAGAACCACTGACCTAAGCTGAAGTCGGATGCTGAACCAACTGAGCCACCCAGGTGCCCCAGTAGTGGTCATTTTTTTTTAAAAATATAATGCATCATGGGGTATGTGGATAGTAGTGGTATTTTGAAAATAAGGAGCCTGTCCCACTATTACTAAAATGTTTTGGGGGCACCTGGGTGGCTCAGTTGGTTAAGCGTCCAATTTCAGCTCAGGTCATGATCTCGTGGTCTGTGAGTTCCAGCCCCGCATCGGGCTCTGTGCTGACAGCTGAGAGCCTGGAGCCTGCTTCAGATTCTGTGTCTCCCTCTCTCTCTGCCCCTTCCCTGCTCATGCTCTCTCTCTGTCTCAAAAATAAAAATAAAATAAAATAAACTGTGTTGCTGCTCTCACCTTGAGTTTTTTCAGAGGTGCTTTCTCCACTTTTCAGTAGATCCTTGGCAACTTTAATTTGGCACCCTAAATCTCTAGTAGGAAATGAATGCTCGGCTTAGTTCTGTGCCACTAGAAACAGGAAAGGACAGTGTCCAACAAGCATATATGTGAATCTGGAGTCCTCTTGGTGGGGTGAAAAGTGGGTATCTGGATCAAAGCATGGTTCCTTTCCCTTCAACAAATGACTGAAGTCACAAAGGATGTATGGAAAAAGGGACACCATTTCCCTTCTCTCTCCTGCGCCATGCAGGTTTAAGGGAGATTGACAATGCTCCTTCCCAACTAGGACATCCTCATTCTGCTAGTTAACTGTTTCATACAGGTGCTTTCTGCAGAGCCTGTTTAAAGTAGTACTCATGAGGGGCACCTGGGTGGCTCAATCAGTTAAGCGTCTGACTCCTGATTTTGGCTCAGGTCATGATCTCATGGTTCCTTGGAGCAAGCCCCACATTGGGCTCTGTGCTGACATCGTGGAGCCTATTTGGGATTCTTTCTCTCCCTCTCTCTGCTCCCCACCCCCCACCCCTGCTCATGCCCTGTCGCTGTCTTTCTCTGTCTTTCTGTCTTTTTACCAAAATAAATAAACATTTAAAGAAAAGTAATACTCATGAAATTGGCATATCAGAATCCCTGGAGAACTCTTAAAACTGCAGATAACTGGGCCTTACTTTCAGAGATTCCAATTAGGTATGTCTGAAGCAGAACCCAGAAAGTCTTCCAAAAAAACTTTTTTTAATGTTTATTTTATTTTTGAGAGAGAGAGACAGATCACGAGTGGGGGAGGAGCAGAGAGGGAGACACAGAATCTGAAGCAGGCTCCAGGCTCTGAGCTATTAGCACAGTGCCCTATGAGGGGCTCAAACTCATGAGCCATGAGATCATGACCTGAGCCGAAGTTGGACACTGAACCGACTGAGCCACCCAGGTACCCCCCACCCAGAAAAGTCTTTTTAAACATCCCTGGAAATTCTGATACTCCGCTAGGTTTAAGAACCACTGATTCAAAGGGACAAGAAATTGATGACTTTTTGGTTCTGATGGATTGAGACCTTTCTGGCATGAATATGCCCTGAATCACGAAATACCTCAGGGGTTTATGGACCATGGTGGTCACAAAGGGTCTCAGTCTAGAGGCCAGACAGTGGTAATAAAAATGTCCTAGGGGCGCCTGGGTGGCGCAGTCGGTTAAGCGT